AATTGTGCATCTGCAGAAAATTGCAAATCAATTGCCCAATGTTTTTAATGGTGCTGCCAGAGTCACAAAATCATATATTGTAACAGAATATGCATCAGCTAAAATAAATATCCCTGAAGGGAAAGTTCCGAGTGCTAATGAACTACTGCCCGCGTAAAACGTGGCATGGGTTCCAAGGATAATAATCCATGAAATAAGAAAATTGTAAATATTGGTGAAGATATCAATAATGATCAGACACCTAAAAAGATCAGTATAACCCCTGAAGAGGTTGATACTAAAAATTTTGATGAAAGTGAGGATGAAGTTATTGAAACTTCTGTTAACTATACCATCAGTGGAAAATCTTGGAACAAAAAGAAAACAAATGTTGATAATACATTTTCATATTATATAGCGCTCTATATAATGAAATATGACGAATATTATGAACCAAAATCAGTTGATGAATGTAGGCAAAGAGATGATTGAGCAAAATGAAAAGACGCAACTCAATCTGAATTGGACTCATTCAATAAACGACTAGTATTCGACCTTATAATCCAAACACCTACAAATGTAAAACATGTTCGCTATAGGTGGGTGTTTGTGAGAAAAAGAAATGAAAATAATGATATCACAAGATATAAAGTAAGACTTGTAGCCCAGGATTTTTCCCAGAGACCGGGCATTGATTTTGAAGAAATTTATTCGCCGGTCATGGATGGAATAACATTCAGGTATCTGGTGAGCCTAGTAGTACGCAAAAATCTTGATATGCGATTAATGGATGTGGTTACCGCCTATCTTTATGTCTCTTTAGAAAATGATGTCTATATGAAAATCCCGGAAGACTTTAACATACCTGAATCATTCAAATCAAAGTCAAAAGAATCATATCCATCAAATTGCAAAAATCATTGTATGGACTCAAACAATCAGACTGAATGTGGTACAATTGTCTCAGAAAAAGTCTAACAAAAGAAGGTTACATAAATGACCCTATATGTCCATGTGTTTTAATAAAGAAAAATGGGTCATGATTTGTAACTATCGTTGTATATGTCGATGATCTCAAGTTGATTGGAACTCCCGATGAAAATCATAAAGCTTTGAATATCTGAAAAAAAGAGTTTGAGATAAAAGATTTTGGAAAAACTAAATTTTGCCTTGCTTGCAAATTGAGCATTTGAAGAGTAGAACTTTTATCCACTAATCAATTTATACCAAAAGGATATTGAAACAATTTCTGATGGATAAATCACATCCATTAAGTACTCAAATGATCGTCAGAGCACTTGATCCAATAAATGATCCATTTAGACTAAAAAAGAAAAATGAAGAATCACTTGGCCCTAAAGTTCCATATATGAGTATTATAGGTGCATTGATATACCTTGCCAACAACACCCGACCTGACATATCATTTGATATAAATTTATTGGCAAGATTAAGTTCAGCCCTTACTTGACGATATTGGAATGAGATTAAGCATATTTTTCGCTATCTCAATGGAACAATTGATCTCAGATTATTTTACTCGAAGAATTCTCGACATGAATTAATTGGTTTTGCCGATGCAGAATATTTATCTGATCCTCATAAAGCCAAGTTCTCAAACTGGCTACATATTCACTTGTGGCGAAACTGTGATCTCTTGGAGATCAATGAAACAAACTTTAACTGCCACTTCTTCGAATTATGTTGAAATATTGGCAATACATGAAACTGGTCGAGAATGTGTTTGGTTGAGGTCAATGACTCAACATATTTTAAAAAATTGCGGGTTAATACCTGACAATAAAATTCCGGCTACATTGTAAGAAGATAATACAACTTGTATAGCTCAATTGAAAGGATGTTGCATTAAAGGAGATAGAATGAAACATATTTCACCAAAATTCTTTTTTCACTCATGATATTCAATAAAATGGTGAAATCAATGTGCAACAAATTTGATCAGATAATAATTTGGAAGATATATTAACCAAGGCATTACCGACCAATACATTTGAAAATATGATAAAGAAAATTAGGATGCGTTGGTTAAGAGATCTCAAATAATTTCAGATCAGGGGAGCAAATAAGTATAAGAATGTTATACTCTTTTCCCTTCACTGGAAGTTTTTTCCCAACTGGATTTTTTCTTAATAAGGTTTTAATGTGACATATTCTTCGTACAAAAACATCCAATTGGGAGTTTTATGTTATGTACACGAATAATACCCATACACCAGACATAAGTGAAGTATGGATGCATCTGTTGATGTCACAAATAATTTACATAGGCTAATCGTTGTAATAATTTTAGCTGTATTTGACACGACCACACTTACACTATACTACTAACACCTATTTACATATACGTAAATGATAAACATGCTATAATCCTTCTTAATTACTTACATCTATAACAACCTGTTAACCTGCTATAAATTTTTGTTTTCAGCAAAACATAACTCAACGGTAACTTATTAACATTCATCAAAAGGATCTCAAACCATATCAAAACTACACAATCGACATACTATTTATAACAATACCATACAACTTCTAAAACAGACGTAATATAGCACAACGGAAGCAAAACAAGCCACGGTCCTGCCCGCAGGTCGTCATCTATGTACACGGTAACTCAAAATGCCTGTAAGAGCACCATGGCTACTCCAGTCTGTCCACCAAGTCATATATCATCAGGATTACCTACAATGCATAAACTGAGTGAGATTTATAAATCTCCGTAAGTAGAAATTATGCATGATGTGAAGTTTATCTCAAAATTCTCACTATGCAGAATGTGCTCTCGTTTGAAATCACCAATTTATTTATGAAATACTCTCCAGGGCCCCTAGACACACTGTTATACACCGGAAAAGCTCAATATCCATATATTCAAATCAAACGGTGGCCTACACCAGGTAGCCTACACCGGGTTTCCTCGTAAGGTTTCCCCGGCTCGCTTCTTCCCAGGTTGCCTCTTCCGAATGCATTGTTTATGCATTGTATGTAAAGTCACAATAGACGGTGGCCTACACTAGGGGTGTGTTTGTTTGAAGGATTTTGGAGGATTTCCACTGTTCATCCAATTTTTTCCCCCCAAAAACATCAAATCAAACACCTATTTTTCATTTTTTATATTATACTAAAAATCAATTTTACATTCAAAACATCACATCAAACCCTATTTATATCACATCATACAACTATTCAAATTCAAAATTTTTACTATTCAAATCCCAATCCAAAATCCAAACCCCCAAACAAACACACCCTAGGTAGCCTACACTAGGTTTCCCCAGGTCGCTTCTTCCCAGGTCGCCTCTCCTGTCCTCGGTGTATAATCAGCGGTCTAACATAGTAAAACCATCTTATTTCATTTCAATGCATGATATGCATGCTTAATGAAAATGCAATGCAACATATTTTATAATATACATATATTATTGAACTCACTAGTTCAAACCACATCAATTTTGGAGCTCAGAGACTCCTTCAACATCAAATATAGAGTTCACAGGCTCAATCATATCACATACAAAGCTCACAGGCTGAAACCGATGTATATACGGAGCTCGCAGGCTTAAATCACATAATCACATAATATTAATCACATATTACAGTTTTCTGATATTCACGTATTATCAAACAAACATAAATAATTTACAAAATAATATATTTATGCATTGTAGTTGCAAATGAGTTTCTACTTACCTGAAATTCGCCAAAAACGTCAATAATCCTAACTCTTAAAGTCTTTTTTCCGATTTCAGTATTGTATTTAAAACAATTAATTACAAATATTACCCCAATTTACTAAATAATTATTTCTACTCAAAACTTTATCTACTTAATAAAATAACAATAATTCGTGAACACGGAAAAATACCTGAACTAGGCTTTTAACGAATTCGACGTAAAATTTTTTTTTTTTTTTCTTCTTCGTTTTGCCTTCTGCCTTTCTCCTTATCTTCTGCAATTCATAGGGGAAATGATTTGATTGAGGTGGGTGGGGATCATTACCCACCGCCTTTCTTTTATTATTATTATTATCATTATTATTATTATTATTATTTTATTTATTTATTTAGTTATTTTATTTATTTTATTTTTGATTTGATTATTACAATAAATTTTCAAGTAGTCTATATATTTAACTTATACTACTAATATTCAAATAATTTATCCAACCTATTTGTATCATACTAGAATCTCAGGTAAATTATGATAATATTTTTTTTATTAATAAATAGGTAAGACATATACCAAATTATAAACAATTTAACATATAAGTAATTTACCGGTATCTAAAATATTAAATATATATTGACCAATGAGCAGTAAAAAACTCTATGTATCACAATATTTACTGATCTCATTTGCCTATAAATAATAGAAGTCCTTTAAACAAAGACGCTGCAAGTTACTTTCTATCCCTTCCCTTGCTCTTTCATTTACCTTATAAATTCTACTTATATTACATATATAATAATTAATACGTGTACATAACATATATTTGTAATCATTACAGATATTTATATGTATTCACCCTACATACTATATATACATATATATTTCATTTCCCTTATAAATTCTACTTACATGCATATGTATTACATATATAATAATTAATACATACATAACATACATGTGTAATCATTACATATATTTATATGTATTCACTCTACATACCATATATACATATGTTTTATATTATATATTTATATAAATATAAAATAGTGATTAACTTTAGCTATAATTAGACTAATCCTATAATAATGCGAGAACATCAATAATAATAAAGGATAAAGTATACAATACTTTAGTAAGTATAAACAAAACACCCTTATTTCATCTATTGGGAGAGCAATAAATAAATTAATAGAGGATAATATTGGTTGTGGATTTATGTCGGCTGGCTGACGCACATGGGTCTATTTATAGATATAAATATACACACAGATACAATGGGGTGTCGTCACTGCTTTCGATCTTATCTCAGAGTCTGCTGCAGCACTCGCTCCCTCACTCTCCAGCCAAAGTATTAAGTATGTATGTTCATAATATACTTAATTAATTATAGTGTGATCGACACAACTAGCTACCAGTACTTAATTAATTAGTAATACTACTAGTTGCTAGTGTGTGTGAGACTCCACTGAGAGCATAGCTAATATATAGCATCTGCCATCCTCATCTTCATCCGACAAGGAAGGAAGGAACTCAACACAAGTTTCATTCTTAGCAATAACTAATTAATAGAGATATATCATTTCATTCATATCTTCTAATCCATCGATGGAAGAATATTCCGGCGAAAAGGAGCATTATGATGTGGTGATTGTTGGCGCTGGAATTGCTGGCCTCGGAACTTCCTTAGGACTCCACAGGTACAGTACAGACGCCTTAATTATCATTTCATATCAGCTACCTACCCTCAACCACTCATACTATACAAATTACTTTGATTGATTGAATTAAATAGGTTAGGGATCGGGAGGATTCTGGTTTTGGAGTCAGCGGATAGCCTGCGGGTGACTGGATTTGCCTTAGGATTGTGGCCTAATGCCTGGAGGGCATTAGATGCTCTTGGGATCGGCCAGTACCTCAGGGAGACGCACCTTCAACTTACTGGGTCACCCACTCGCTTCGTACTTCATGCCTATACATAAATATATATAGATTGAGATTCATTTGATTGATTGATTGATTGCTTGCTGGATGTCTGTTTGTTTGTGCAGCGTGGTTTCGACATCAGCTAATTCAGGGCTTCCCACGTCCGATACAACTTTTGCCGCTGTACCTTCACGGTGGGTTTTTACTCGTGCACTTACACTATTCAAGTATTTACAGCTTCAAATTAAACATGCATTAGAATCACAATCCTCCGAATCCATCATAGTAAATTGAAGAAAACCGTACCGAGTTGAATTAATGAGAAGTTGGTTCAAGATTATATATATGTATATAAACTAAATTCTCTTAACAAGTTAGTTAATAATTGTTATTTTCTGGATATGGATGCAGGGGAGATCTCAATGTTGGATGCGTGGTCAGAAAGGCGCTGCTGGAAACACTGGCGAATGAACTTCCACAGGGCACGATTCGGTATTCCTCCAAGGTGGTGCGTATACAAAACCAGGGCTGCACCTTCAAGTCTATCCATCTTGAAGATGGAACATATCTTACAACTAAGGTAAGAAAAAGGTCTGTTGGAAGACTCTAATAAATGTATCTAATATACATATCCTTGCACACTTAATTTTTTAAAAAGACGTTTGTTTAATATGGTATCAAAGCGGGACGTCCTATGTTGGTTGACATCACCTTAAGCTTTTAATCTGCCCCATTTTTCGTAAAAATTGTCCATGTGCAAGAAGATTCATGAATAATTGTGCACGTGAACGGGCATGTTGATATATTTTAGAATATGTTATACTAATTTTGTATCTCTACGGGCTTAATATTTTAGATGAGATGTGGTTATTTAATAATGAAATTTGAGTAAGATAAATATCTGGTTTATGTTGTCAATCGTAATTCGAAAGTAACTACTATACAAGCTTGTCAAATTAACATCCATTCATGTCCAAAATATGCTCCCATCCGATGCCATTGTCGTAGCAGCTCCCGATGATATTTGGAGAACAAATTAAAGTTGAAATTACTGATGCATCTGCTCTTAATTATTCAAAATAGGTTTTGATTGGATGTGACGGCGTAAACTCTGTCGTAGCAGACCATCTTGGTTTCAGCAGGCCATCTTTTGTTGGTCGATCAGCTGTTAGGGGCTTTGTACACTATGAAGATGGCCATGGTTTTGATCCGAAGCTGTTCTTCTTCTTCGGAAGAGGTGTTCGATACGGTATCATACCATGTAATGATCATGGACTTTACTGGTTTCTAACTTTTTCTCCTTCTCCCCAAGGTAATATCGATCTTTCATAAGTTTAATTAGTTACACTCAATTGTACGGCCAATCGAAGTTGAAGCTCAAATAATGTTTGTACAAGACCATACATAATTAATCTTATTTACATGAAAAGAAAACAATGCTGCAGAGAAAGGCATAGAGGAAGATCCAATAAAGTTGAAGCAATTCATACTAAGCAAGCTTGGAAAAGTTCCTGATAGGTTCAGGGCAGTGTTCGAGAGAACTGAACTAGAAAGCATGGTGTGCGCGCCGTTAAGGTTCAGACATCCGTGGGAATTGCTATGGGGAAATATAAGCAAAGACGGTGTGTGCTTAGCCGGGGATGCATTGCATCCTATGACGCCGGACATAGGGCAAGGGGCGTGTGCGGCGCTGGAGGAGAGTGTGATTTTAGCGAGGGAATTGGCGCAGGCCTTGAAGACGAACCATTCGAGTGATAGTTTGGAGAAAGAGCAGCGAAGAATCGAAAACAGCCTAGAGAAGTATGCAAGGGAGAGAAGATGGCGAAGCGTCGATCTGGTTAGCACGGCGTATATGGTGGGCGTAATGCAGCAGAGCCATGGGGCTGTCATGAACTTTCTCAGGGACAAAATAATGGCTAAGTTTCTAGTCGGAGCACAGATGAAGAAGGCTGATTTCGACTGCGGGACGCTCACTGCATCAGCGTCTTGATCTAGACGATATTACCGAGTTTCTTACTCAATGCCATGTCTTTGTTCTTCATAAAATTAAGCATTGAGTTAGATTCAGTCTGATAAAAAAGAAATGAAGATTTTTTAAGTTATGGTTTCAACATTTATTTTAGTTAGTTGTTTCTATATCACTACCAAAAAAATATTTTTTTTGTAGTGATAAAAAAATCGTAACAAAAACCTATTTTCGTGCAAAATAGCATTTTCTGTTGACTCTGTTACAGATTTTGACAGCTACAAAAATTCATGGTACAAAAAGTCTTTGTTGTGACAAAATTCGTAACAAATAACCTGTGGTCAACCTTAAAAATAAGTACATGTTAATTATATTTGTTACTTTTTTTGTATGTGACAAAAACATCGATTATGTTTTTGGATCAACATATATCTGTAAACAAAAAATGAGGACAAAAGTTGAATCCTGTCAGAGAAATATTTGTTATCACATATGTCTGAAACAAAAAATGCGTTACAAAAGTTCAGTCTTGTCAGAAAACTTCTTGTTACAAACTAAGTGCGTTACAAAAGTAGTTCCCTATAACAAATAAGTTGTTCGTTACAAAATCTGTTTGTAACAAGAACTCAGTACAAAAGTCAGGCACCATAAATTACCATTTTTACCGGCCAATGTCCCTAACTAAAAATACGATACAAAAGGCGTCCCTATGTGAAATACTATTTTTTTCGCCACAAATAAAATCCTATTGTCTAAAGTATTTATTACATATTAATATGTGGGACAAATAATTCAAAACATAATCTTATCATAAATGTTCCCAAATCCATGTTTATACTATACAACGATATCAATCCAACGATGTTCATAGTCTAACCAAAAATATAATATTATGCGTCAACAGTGCTTTAGACCATCCCAATCAAACATCAACCCGTACACCAACATAACAATCTGCTAATTCACGATATCCAAAACCAAAAAGTAATACATAAATTGATAAATCTGATATCATATGGCAGTACGATCTTAAGGGCAACTAAAAAACACAACTATGAATGACCTAGTTTGTTGAGTGCAGAATCACGGATGAGGCAATCAAGGGCAGTGAACCAATTGCAATGTGTTTTCAATAATATATAAGAATTTAATAAAGAAATTGAAGTAATTTAAATCCCAAAAGAATAAAATAAATAAAAAAAAATGCCTACATCCTTGTAAGTCCACTCGATATTATCTCCGTCGAGTACCTCACCGAGAATCTTCGCTCCAGCATTAGTTGGGGGGATAATGCAATCTTCGGGATCATTACAGCTGTAACACATACCTTAAGAATGGCTAAGGTCACCTATATAAATACTTAAAACGAGCGCTAGTTACGATAAAATGTGCACTTCTCTAAACATGATGGATGAATATAATAAAATAAAAGTTACGCTTCAGCTTGATCTATGGACCTTATCTAAAATACAAGTATAGCAATAACTAAACCCTAAATCGGTAATAAAATAGGCTGGCCCCTGAACGTTATGAAAATAAAAAACACAACAAGGACCATAGGGGGCAACTCCCCTAACACAGATAAACTAAAAATCATAGATAGGCCAGCCCTAAGCATCTAATAATATACCATGTAACGGAAATCCTTTAGCAAAAAAAGAACATAGCCTCTCCAATAGCAACAAACAACCACCAATCAAGCCTTACAAATAACATTCGACCATACAACTACGTTAAACCTAAATAGACATGCCCTAAAACAATATAATCATATGATATATATAACAATCTTACACAAGATCAATTCTACGTCCATTTCATGTTGTACAACTACACAATCAAAAGCTAACTTATCAAGTGCAAATGAACCTGGTGTAGGGAGGCTTAGCATCACTTCTTCGCCGATCGCACATTTCTTCAATCCTCGGGAGAGTAAATGAACATGTGTTCCAATGTACGCCAAAACATTTTTTACTATCGTCAATATTTTTTTTTGTCTTAAGAGCATGCAACAAATTAAAATTTATAGCAAAACCAATATACGACATTATTGTAGACATCAATCATATTAATAACACAAACCGTTATTGATTCAGGTTAACTAGTTCCCACTATCTCGCCCCTCATTCCAGCTAATCGGCTAGTTCCCTTCATAATAGACATTGGATTCACATCATTGGGTAGACTCGACATTTTCCACCCGCATTACATAGAGAATTTACCATGCTTACTGAGGCTTGTGGAGATGGTCCAATGGAAGAATTCATCCACAAAGAAATTTATGCCTTGTCCATAGCCACTTCGTTCCTAATAGCTATAATTTCAGACAAGATTGCCTTCATCTCAGCAATACCATTGCAAAATTCCTCCACTAGTGATTATATGGCCTCACTATCGAAATGGCTAGCAGAGTGAGTCTTGGGTGTGGCGGAGGTTGCTGCGACATCAACCGTAGATCTCCGTTTTTTTTTCCATGCAAGCGCGCTTCAGTATAAAGACTCATGGACGGCTGGCGTTCTCTGATCCGTTGAGATTTTGTTGAGTTCCGAATTGAGAAATTTCTGCATAATATAGTGACTTTGAAGACAAATGTAATTACGTCACATAAGGGATGAAAACACAAAAAAATTTTGTTGTTCTTAACAAATAGATGTTGTTACCAAAATATCATCAGTCTCCTCTTCACCCGCATGTTGTCCCTTGGTAAGGGATGCCATCCATATTTCCAAGCTATCGGGTTCTTTGCCTTTGACTTTTATATACAAGTATATTTAACCCATCCTTACTAAAAGTTTTCATCCAAATAAAAAAGAGAAAAGAAACGGCATAGACATGCAACAAGATTTGTAAAGGTAAGCTGAAAAAGAAAGCAGAGACAGACCTCCTCAGCCAAGATGTCAAATGATTTTCCGCCCGTTCTATGTGGAAAACTTATTTTCACTGTATTCACCGTATTTCTACTAGCAATATCCTACAAACACAATATATGTTAGCACTTGATTGGTCCGGTGGCAAGTCCTAAGAAAAAGTGCGTATCTTAACCTTTTTGTCTTTCCAATACTGCACTAGAAGCGCCCACTGCTCTGCAACAACTCGCTCTTTCATAGCTATCTTCAAGGCCTCTTCATCATCCTTTAGTGGAGTGAAGTGTGAGACCTTCACATTGTATTTCCAATGGCATCTTTAAGGTCAGCACTAATTTTTCAGCAAAATAAGGTAGAGCACATTATTTCTATAAATAATTGATCCCGTCAAATAGTAATAATCCACCTAGACTCAAAAGATATTGGAGTAATGAAACTTTACGTTCAATGAATATAACTTTCAAGATCCACATCATACTTGTACCTCAATCCAAATATCTTTTTTAGTTGTCTCTAGGATCTGCTGAAACGTCAGATAGTGGAGAGGAAAATGCAGTCCATTTCTCGCAATCACCCCGAGTGCACTCTTATATTCATGAACATCGGTACCTATTATCCGCTTGCCATCATAAGGTATTATACGTTGGAAGGGCCGAGAAAAAAGCTGAGAAGGGAGCAAAGTTGAAGGCTAAATTCGAACGGAAGAGGAATAGTAGATTTGAGAAATTAAAAGGTGCAAATTTGTACTTAAGAAATCAAGCAATTCAAATATAGTAAAAATAATAATAATGTTTTTGCAAGGATTTGTTAGGATTATTACTATTTATAAAAAACTTTTTCTCCAAAAATATCAAATCATACACTTATTTTTTATTTTTTATACTACATTAAAAATCAAATTTATATTTAAAGTATCAAATCAATATTTATTTATATAACATTGTACTACTATTTCAATCCAATTTTTTTTACTATTCAAATCCTAACAAAAAAAAAATCCAAACTCCTAAACAAACACACCCTTATTTTATGGAAACCCTAAACGTAGAAAAATTATACTTCCTCCGTCACACATAATTTATCCCTATTTTCTATTTTCGTTCATTCCACCTAATTTTTCATTTTTATTTTTGGAATATAATTATACATTTTAATCGCATTTTAAATTTTAAATTTTATAATTTTTTTTTTATTTTAATTAAACTATTTAATTATATTAATTTTAATTTATAATTATTTTTACTATACCATTATTATTTTTACTAATACACTTCTTAGTTACTTACTAATTATAATTCTCGTATCTACATTAATACACCCTGCACCCAACACCCAAGTTACATGAGACAGAAGAAGTAATATATTTTGTATAATTCCTTTAGGGGCTGTTTGTTTCAAGGATTTGATAGGATTTCATGGGATTTGGATTTTAAAATCTCATGATATTCATGTTTGGTTCAAAAAAAATAATGGAATTTAAAATGATGAGATTTAAAAACATGGTCTAAAATCCTACAAACGAGAGATTTATTAGTAATGGGGTACCCCTATTACTTTTAAATCCCATTCCATGGGATTTTAAATTTTACTTTTATATCCTTATATAAAAAAATATATTATATATTATAAATATATTTATATAAAATTAAATTAAAAAATTTTAAAATTAATTTTTATTTGAATTATATATTAAATTAAATTAATATTATTTGTTATGGTACAATATTTTTTAAACAAATTAATAAATTCATTGTTTTAAATTGTTATTTATTATAAATTTTATTTAAATTATAAAATTATCAGGATGACAATAAGTCGGATTCAGCCGGAACTGAGATCCGCCCTGAATATATATATATTGTTAAACTTTAGATCCAAATTGGATCTGATGATCCGGCCGAAACTATACCCGGTAAAACCCGATGGATCTAACAAATCCAATTTTTTTTTACGATTCTTAAATTTTAATTTAAAATTACACATGTACCGATCCGATATATATATTATTTATGTATTTTATGAAAAAAATATTATAATAAAATAATAAATAAATTAAACTTAAAAAAATATTTTTAATATAATTATATTGTTAGGAATTATTTTTTTCATATGTATAGTCAATATATTGTTAATATTATAAATCGAGTCTAGGTGCGGGTGGTAGCTTAGACCCTAGACCCGATTAGAATACCCATAATATGACCCGGATCAAGATCTAATACTCAAATAATTGTACTCAACTTCAAATAAATAGGTCGGGTTCGATTCGGGT